CTATAAAATAAAAGAATGATTTTATATGCTGCTGTTTCACTTGGATTAGTTAACGAAGAAGATTTTAAAGGTGACACAGGGTTATTAGTTTATAGTCTAAAAGACTGGGTTTTTACATCAATTGATTCAATATTGAATGATTTTGAAAGTGGAAAAGTTGATACATCATCTTTGGACCAACATGACAAACTAATGTTTACATTGACAATATTAGGAACATGTTTTTCATCATTATCTGAAACATCGACTGACATAAATAGAAAAATACGATGTTTAAAAATATACAAAGAATGGTTGACAACACCAAATTCACCAAGTCTTATTCAAAATAATTGTAAATATGTCAAAATGATTCTTGGACATATTTCATTACTCTTCTCTCCAGAAAATAGATGTTGTTCAGATATTGGAATGTTAAAAACAGGAATGTTAGAAGGTATAGAAGTAATGAAAGCATTTATAATAAATCACATTACAAAACAAACTTCATTATTCAAAAACAATAGTGAAAGGAATGATAGTATATCAACAATTATTGGAATTATTATAGGAATTATTTTTGTTAACTACCACAAACAATTTACTAAACCACTCAATGAATTAAAAATAATAATAAAATTGTTAACAAGAATGTTATTAAGTTGTATCATTAGAAACTTGTGTAAACAATACAATACGCTCTCTTTTTTGTAAATATTTGTAATAATTTTCTTCAATTTTCCTTTACTAATGTAGATGTCTTTGTATTTCTTTCATTTTATTTCTTGTATGTGTTGATAGATTTATTTTTTGTTTGTTGTGACATTTTTTATATTCTGCTTAGCTGTTTTTTCACTACTTAAGTTTGTATAAAATATTTGCAGATTATTTTGTTGAAGTTAAGTAGTGACGTAACATAAAGGTATTTGACTTCAATCACCAAAATAAAAATGAATTAAAAAGAAAGAAAAGGAATAAATAAATATTCAAGAAAAAGTGTTGTTAAAAGTTATAAAATATTTAATAATAATATTATGGTTTTATGTTATAAATTAAAAGTATTAATTTTTATTAAATTATTAAAAAAAAAAGAAACTAAAATAAAATAGTTTAAACATTATTAATAAATAATTTTGGAATTGTTTAAAAATTATTAATTTTGATTAATTTATACTTATAATTTTTTTTATTAATTATCAATTTAACTTTATTTCCATCAATGTTTTAATTGAATTAAATTTACTTTTTTAATATTATAATATATGATTATTTCATTATTTCATTGTCTTTATTATTATCTCTCTTCTCAACTCTCATTAATTCATCTTTTTTCATTACTTTTTTTTACTAATTTTATCCATTCATTGTTCGTTAATATAATATTAATGTATGCTTGAATTTCGGGTTTATTCTTTCTGTTTGATTTATTCATTATTTTACATTTCTTTTTTAATATCAATATATTTCCTTCTTTATGATTTTCTGTTGATAATAATAAAGTATCTTTAAGTAATCAAATATCATCTTCATTAACTGTACTAATGACTACTGTGTTACCTAATCCTACAAATCTTAGTCTTGGTATGTTTGGTTGTAATACTCAAGGGGTGTATTACTTAATCTATTAAATACATATCATCAAATACCAAGTTTTGTTCTACTATTCTTCTCTTTATACTTTTAGTCTTTTTAAATGAATTAATGATGGTATATGACTTAGATACACACTTTCATTGGTTTCATTATTTTTGATCAGTATTTTAGTCAACTTCTCTCAACTTTTATCTCTAGTATTCAACATCATCTTTTGATGTTTGAGACATTGAAGAAGTGAAACGTTCTAAATTATCACCTAAACTTCCTAAATCATTAATAAGTTGTTTATTGAAAATAATAACATGACATAATTTTGAAAATGTAAAATCACTTAAAGAATGAGTATGTTTAAATACAAACAAAATGAATGAATGGATAACACTTAAATATATTATATATATGGACTTACTTTCTTCCTCCAATTTCTAAATAATACTAAGTCTAATCGTTAGAGTAGATTGAAAACATGTAGATTGGAATGCATTTACAAAATATGACTAGACAGTAAATAATTTATCAAACTAATATCTAATTCCATAAAAAATATTCCTTAATAAAACTGATTTACTATCAAATAGTAAATTGTTCATTGGTTTGGTGCTTAATACAATTTAGAACAAAATAAATATAAAACCAATAAACAAATAATAACCATCATTCTTTCAATGTTGAGTAAGACACTTTCTAACTAAAGATAGCATCATAACTAACTAGAATATGAATGTATTTAAAAACTATAATTCATTTTAAATTTGTACGATGTTTATAACTTTAAAACCTCTTAAATAGTAAGAAAAAGAACAGAAAAATCAAAGAAAAAAAGGATTAAGCTTTAAGGGCCTCAGCAAATTTCTTTCCCCATTCAAAGCATGTTTGTAATTCATTAGAATTAGGTTGGAATTTAATAGATAAAGGTTCAACAGGTTGGTGAACTTTTAATTGAACGATTCTAGCTGATAAGTTTTTAACACCTTCACCACTCCAACCGAATGAACCAAAGCATTGAACAAATCTATTACAATGGATAGTTGGATTAAGACTACATGCAATTTGCATAATAGGAGGAATAGTATCATTAACTAAAGTAGGTGTACCTAAAAGTAAACCTTTAGCATCTTCAAATTCCTTTAAAACATCACCAACAGAAGACTCTACAATATTAAACATCTTAACTTCAACACCAGTAGATTTAATTCCTTCACTAATTTGTTCTGCCATTTTTTGAGTATATCCATAAGCAGATCCATAAGCAATAACAACTTTATTTTTTAAAGCAATAGGTTGTGCCCATTGTCTATATCTTTCGATATTTTCTTTAATGTGTGTTCTTAAAACAGGTCCATGGCTACAACAAATAGCTTTAAGTTCATCGCTTGGGAATCCCATTTGTGTTTCAATCATATCAAGTCCTTTAATTACATAATTTTTAAATGGTCCAAAAATACAATCAAAATAGTGTTTATATGCATCATCCATATCTTTAATTCTCTCCATCATTTGGTCATTAAATACTCTTTCATCTGCATAATGTCCTCCAAAAACATCACAACTAACTAATACTTTCATTTCTTCAATAACTGTCATCATAGTATCTGGCCAATGTAAAAATGGTTGAATAAGGAATTTTAAGTGATAATTTCCTAAGTCAAGTGTTTTAATCTTTCCTGAATTTAATGTCTTTGTATTTTCTTTAATATGTCCAATGTATTTAATATTATTTAATGCTGCCATAGTTCCAATTACTGTTGCTTCTGGGTATTTCTCTAATATGTGAACTAATGATCCACTGTGATCTGGTTCAGTATGATTTAATACGATATAATCTAATTTTCCTTCTTTTCCTATGACATCTTCTATTCTCTCTAAACACTCTCCTGCAAAATTCTCTTTACATGTTTCAAATAATACATTGCCTTTCTCACTTTTTAATAAAAATGAATTGTATGAAGTTCCATATGGTGTTGTCATTATTATATCAAACACTCGTAATTCTTTATCAAATACTCCTACCCAATATAAGTCTTTTACTACTTCCAATGCTTTCATTCCTATGTATTTCTTTCTTTCAGTTCCTCTTTATATATTCTCTTCTTTTTTTTCTCTTTGTCCAGATTCTTTTTTTCATTTTGTCCAGACTCTTTTTTTCTTCTTTCTCTTCTTCTAGATCTTTCTTCTCTTCTTTTTTCGGTTAGTTCTTTCCTCTTTTTCTTTCTTTTCTTGAATAAAATTTGAAAAAACTTTCTTTGAGAAGTTTAATAATAGATGACGAAGTTTTGTTTTGCCTTATGAAGTTGAAACACTTTTTTGTTTCTTTTCTTAAAAGGAGATATACCAAAAGAAATTCAACCCAGTTCTGTATCAACAAAAGTTTTTAATGAGAGTATTTAGAAGGTTTAGGTTCAATTCAAATTAATGAATGTTAAAGTATTATCACTGGTTAGTATTTATGATAGTTATTGTAACTAAATAATGAATTGAATTATTTCCCCAGCTACAAATTTAAAAAGAATTATTGATGAGAAAATATTTAAAAGAGAACTAAAGTTCTATTAACCTTTTTCCTTTTCATAAATGGTGTTAAATAAGTGATAGGTTTGTGTTGCTTAGGTGTTGGACTTATGTTATACAAACTTTATTTTACTTTTTTATTTCTCATTGAAGTATTTATTTGTTATAATATAAAAATGTGGTTTTTCTCTTCTATTGATTTAAATTGTTTTTTTTGTTTTTTTGAGCTTTAATTTGTTGTTTTTTTTTTCTCATTAATCTAATCACCCGTCTTATCAAATCTGAGCGGATTAAACAATAAATAGTATTACTGTCTGGATGTGAATAAAAAATCACAAAAAGAAAAGTAGAAAAGAGTTACAGAAGAAGTAATTGAAGTTATAAAAATGATTAAGAGGTACTTTCAAAGATTTAACAATAAACAATAATGTTAAGTAGTGTAGTTTAAATGCTTTAGTTGAGAATAATAATGAGAAGAAACAAAAGAATTAATCAGGTATGACATAACAAATATACATAAAGTAGAATAACTATTGAAATAAATAGAATTGTTATTTCAGTTGCACAATAAATCATAGTTTAGTTACATATATTCACCAAATTGTGTATCACAATACCTACCAATTTAATATTATATTTTTAAAACACATCATAAACATCTCTTTTTTATTTGGGTTATGAAATAGTTAGTGTTTTTAAGAGCTATTTATCAATGATTGTATCAATGGAATAGAAGAAGAATAAATTAAAACAACTCATTCAGAATTATTGCCAAAACATAATTTAATTCTAATGAATTAGTTTTGCTAATAAATTGATCAACAATTAATTGTCTTTTTAAGGAGAAAAAAAAAACTAATAAATTTCTTTATTTTCATCTGAAAATAAATTATACTCTTTATCATTTTTTTCTACCATTATTTTTCGGAGTATTAGTTTTTTTAATATTTCATAGATTCATACAACGAAATGAGTATTTTCTTAGTCCTTTCTTTTTTCGTTTTTTTCTTTGAAAAAAGATGGCAGAATTATATAGTCATGAAAGGAAATGTTAGTAAGTCTGCGTAAAACATTTTGAAGCAACTCTAAAAAAGATATTTTTTTAAATAAGTATGATTTGAGTATAAAATAATTTTTGTCTTTATTTTACAGTAATTCAATTTTTTATTTAAAGACATCTTCATCATTTTTTATTATAGTTTTCTTTTTAAAATAACTTGAAAAAATCTTAAAATCATTCAATGTTGTTTGTTAATTTTTTATTAGAATTTTTTGAAAACCAATAACCAAATGGTGTATGGCATTCAAACATGTCTTTGAATGTTTTTTAAAATATAAAACTCTAAAGAATAAGTTACTATTATTTGGGTTTATTTAGAGATAAAAATAAAAAAAAAAATATATTTTGGTTGGAGTTAACGTTAATAGAAAATGAAAAAAAATTATAAATCATATCGTTTTATTTTAATAAATATTGTTTTAATGTTTCATTTTATAAGATGACGTTAGTATTAAAACAAATTAATACTACAAAACACTAAATAAACACTTTATGGAGTCAGTTTTGTCTATTAACATAGGTCTAAAATGAATAAATAAAAAAGTGATATTTTGATTATACATGAAAAGATAGAAAAAAAAAGGAGATGAAATTAATGAAGAGTTTTTATTGAATTTTTTTGACAATAGTATTGTGTTTTCAATTCTCATTTTCTCAATAAGAAAAATTTGGAATGTAATTATTTTTGAAATAACAACAATATTTATGAAAAAGTTTTTTATGACTCTGATTTTGGTATGAGTTGGTGAATGATGATAACCAATCCAAGAAAAGTTTAAAAAGACTCATTTAAAAAAAGGAATGTAAAATAATAATTTACGAAATTAAAAGGAAAGAATTAAAAGCTAGAATTTTTAAAATGAAAGTGTTATTCTGACCCCTATGTTTTATATTTAGAACATTAATTTATTTTAGGAAATGAAATAAATTAAGATTGAAATCTTAGAATCGCATCAATTAAATTGTTTTGATATGGCTCGTACTCTTAGGAGAAAGACTAGTGTCCCTAACTGTTCTTCTGATGTTTTCCTTAGTCAAGACCAAACATTACAAATATCAAATTCGGCAAGCATGACACCTGATGGTTCAATTTGTTCTTCAAAAAGTTCTATTGGAAGTCATAATACTTGTCAATCCCCCATTTATTGTTGTTCAACTGAAGGTATAAATACACCAGTTAAAAAATACTTACATACCGTTCATAGACAAGTTGATAGACATGTTAATACTTTAAGACCATCAAATGAAGAAGTTTTAGCATCAATGTTTTTAGAAAAAAATAGTCGTTTATTATATTCATACTCTCAAGCAGTTTGTTACTATTATTAAAAATTTTATTTGAGAATATTGGTTTAATAATCTCAACAAATATTTTCAGTTAGAATATTCTACTCACTTTACTTAGTTAATAAGTAAAAGTGATTACAATAGTTACCATATTCGTATTTTACTTAAATTCTTCAAGTCAAGAGGAAAGTTAACTCATTTAATTACTAACCTCTCTGATATTGAAATTGAAACAACTAACTATAATAATGAACTTTTTAGAGGAAACAGTGTTTTCACTAGAGTATTTTCAGAATATTTAAAGAATTATTGTAATGAATTTCTTCAACTCATTATTTCTCCAATTCAAGAGATAATTAAAGAAGTTAAAACAAAAAACCAACCGAGTATATTAACAGGAGATGATTCTTTAAATGGTTTATTGTTGGCTTGTACTATTAAAGATGTATTAGAAAAAATGGCAGTCTCAATTACAAAAAATACCTGTTTGTTGCCACCTCATTTACGTTATATTTTAAGGCATATATACAATTCAGTCTACCTTATTAGAGGAGAGGAAGCTTCAAAACATGTATTAGAAACATTAATATTCCTTCGTTTTATCCTTCCACCATTAGCTCAAACTCCTCAATTATTAAAGAAGTTACAAAGTTTATTAAAAATGGCAAACGGTAAAATCTTTTCAAGGTTTAGTGATGACAAACATGAAACATTAACTACAAGAGAAGAGACATTATTTATTAGTTCTGTTAATACATTCTATAGAGGTATTATTACTGGACCTCTTTCTTTTGCAACTTCATTTAAAGGAGTTAAACGGTCAGAACAAGATGAAAGTTACAATGATATAGTTCAAGTGATTAGGTCTGAAATGAACCGAATCTCAAGTGTATTTGGAGATGGATTTGAAACTGTCTTTGATATAGTCAAAGGAAAAAAAGATGTTGTTAGTGTTAATGTAATAAATGCTGCTGAAGAAATGACAAGTTGGATGATTGATAGAGAGTATGAACTTGAAGGTGAAAATAAAGAATTAAGATTGTCTGTGGACTGTTTAAAAAAAGAGTGTTGTATTCTTAGACAAAAAGTTATGGAACTACAAACAAATGAACTCAATTCATCCAATTAATTTTTTCTTCATTAGCTTATTAACAAACTTTAACTGTGTTTTTATCATGCTCAATTATATTCTTTATTTAATTTATATAAAAGTTAATATTTATTTAAGTTATTGTTAGATGTTTTACTAATATTTCAAACCATTATTTGTTGTACTAATACATATAAGTTATTTATTTGATTCAATTTGGATTAGAATATCTTTTCAAACTTGTTTTGTAATAACAAATATTTTTTCAATAATTATAATGAATTAAACTTAACTAAACGTTACAAAAATTACTGTTATTATTTTGAATATCAAATTCAACCAAATTAATCACTTTTCTGGTTATAAACTACTTTTGTTAGCAAAATCTGATATATTAGTTTTGATTTAAATTATTACAAAGTGTATTATGATTGTTTTAGGTTATTTTTATCTTTAAAAAATTAATATCATATGACTATAATTATTTCTTCTTTAAACCTTCTTTAACAAAGACTATCTCCATTTATTAAAGTTTATTGACTCTTTTGTTTTAAATTAATTAAAATTATTTTAATGTATCTTCTGGGGATATAGTCATTTTTATTTATTCCATTTAAGAAATTTTTTGATTACTTTTTGTAAAGAATCATTTTATTGAAAGTTTAATATAGTAGATGAAGGAGATTTCAGTTAATGGTAATATAATAAATAAAATAGTAATGATATAGCAATGATAATAAATTATTTAATATAAATGAAAGAAAGTTTTCATTCTTATTATTCATTTATATTCATTTAATTGTATTTTATTGGTATCTTTTTTTTAAATTAATCAATAAAATGAATATAGTCTTTTATTTTTTATTCTTTTATTTTTATGTTTATTTGATGTTATTTATTAAACAAAATATGTAGTATCAATCAGATTTCATTTATTCCATTTCATACTTGTGAATTATTTAATTGTTTTATTTATGTGGTATTAATTTATGAGAATATAAAAGAGTGCTACTTCTTTTTATTTTCATTGTTTATTCTTTTTGTATGTTCCAAGTCAACATTTAATTTTATATATTTCTGATTATAATTTATGACAATATAAAATACAAGATTTTTAGAATATGAATTTATTGTTTTGAGTAATGTTTGAATTTATTGTTCTCATGTTGTTTTTCACGTGATTAGTTATTAATTCTCATTTTTCTTTTTGTTCATCGTTTATTGAAATGAGAAATGTAAGATGATTTGATAATTTTATCAAGTAAATTATACATCAATTATTGATATTCAAATGTATTTTTGTTTATTTCATAAACAAATTAATTTACATTTTGAAATGATGAATGATGAGATTATATTTCATTAATTAAATTCATATTTGATTGTGGTTTGTTTTAAATGAATTAATAATATTAAATTATTTGATTGAACAAAATGTGATTTATATAATAATGAATATTGTTATTGATAATATGATAAATAAATATATTAAATAATGAAATATCAATAGACTATTTAAAATTATCAACTGTTATTACTTAATTTATTATTATCATAACAACATTTATTTTGATTATTAGTCACAGTTGTATAGATTTTATTTAATGTTACAACACAAGTACATTCAATAATGAGAATTTTGCTCAATTAGAAATAGATTATAATTATAAATTATGATATTTATAGAGAAATTAATAATCAAATGTTATACATTGTATTATAAATTCAGAATAATAAATGTGTACTATTATAACAAATACATTTCAACATCATATTTTTGATGATAGTCATATTCATTGTTTTGTGACTCAATTCATTTAAATATACTTTTATGGACTTTTCATCTTCACAATCACTGAAACATATTTTAGCACATTAAATATTAATTTATATTGAAAAAAATTACAAATAATGATAAACGAAATGAATGTTGACACTTTTATTATAAATGATATTGACTCATTGCATATCAATTGATATTAAGAACACAGTACATAAAATAAGTTATTATCTTAAATGACAAACAAATAATTTATTAATGATATTGATAACATTGTTTCATATTTAATAATTCATTAGTAATGATTTAGTAATTGATAACCCAGAAATAACATTTCATTCATAGATAATAGAATGAAATTACATAACCAAATTTAATTTATTAACTGAAAATTTAGATCAGAATTGTTTATGTTTAATGAATAAAAATATAAATTTGAGAAAGAATAAAATTAATAAAGATAAGAAATATTGAAATGAAAAAATCATTTTCATTCAAAATAACAAATATTTAAGTATAAAAAGATAATAATGAATATTAAAGAAAATATAAAATAATTATAGTTATTTTCAAATTACACAAATCTTCATTTTCTACATTTTACTTCCTATCCTGTGAAAGCATTTATTGTAAGTTATATTATTGTTAAATTAAATGAACGTAAAACTTTAAAATAATTTATTTGTAAAAGAATAAATACAATTTTTTGTTTTTTACTATCCTTAAAAAAATATTTTTATTCTTAGTTTAATTGTTTTATTGAAGAGACATAATGAATAATTTATTTATTTATTAATTGAATCTTTTTGATAACAGAATCTAGGTTCATTTCTCTCAGTTTTTCTAGTACTTTTTCTTCTTCATAATGTTTACAATGACAATTAATTAAATTTGAATATCTCTCAAGACATGACCCTTTGACAATCTCTTTGGCTAGTTTGATTGCTTTTCTTTCTAAATGTAGTAATTCTTCTTCTTGGTATTGTATATTTTCTTCATGTTCTTGGTGTTTGTTTATAATTAGTTCTTTTTTAAGAGGATATAAAATGTTATACTTTATAGAATTTTGAATTTGTTTATTATTATCATAGTGTTTGTTTAACTCTAGTACCGATTTGGTATCTCCATAGTCTATAGTTTCTTGTAGTTCTTTGATAGAAGTAATACTCTCTTCACTGTGGTATGAAAACTCTTCCATATCAGAAATATTATTCTTGTCTATCAGTTTAATCTTACGATCAAAACTAAATCTTACTTTTCGTTTTTGTTTATTTTGAGTATTTGCTACAGAAGTTATGTTTGCTTATTATTAAGGTAAATACTGACTATAAAAATACTGATAACTATAACTTCATGAAGAAATACCTTAAAGTCAATTTCTTGCTCAACTCTTTATGACTACTACATTACTATTTATCGATAGCTCATTTTTGAAATGAAAGTGTTATTCTTTTGGTATATGATTTGCATTAATTTCTTTCTTGAATATTAGAAGAAGAGTCTTTATAACAAAGTGTCTTCGATAAAATAGACACATTCTTTAAACATAATAAAATTAATTTATTATTTTTTTATATAACATTGATTTACTGTTCAATAATAACAAGAAAATTAGTTTTTCCTTTATTACCATTTTAGTTAAAACGGTTTATCTTTTAACGTCACTGATAGACTAAAAACGAAAAAACCATTATTATATTAGACAGTTAGTTGAATGGATACAAATAGGTTTAAAAGAAGTTTTATTTTATTGTATAATTAAAATATTAAACACTCCAACAAAAAAATTACTGTAACAAAAATATTCAACAATTATACTCACAATATAAAAAGATAAAATGTAATAAAAAGCATTAATAGTCTTGTTGAAGAATTTTGAATATCAGACTCAGTATAACCTATCATGAAAGACTGCCAATTTGAGACAAATCGAATGGTATTATCCTCAAATTGTGCAATAACAGGATACCCATTATTACCAAGTAATAACCGACTTATTCCCATCACTCCAATTCTATCTCCATTTGAATCGAATAAGACTTTACCTGTTGCACCTGTGAATTTTGAACTAATAAATTTAGTAAAATTATAAGTATTTCCACACTTTTTCCAACCTTCAACAAGTGAAACAACGACGTCATAATATCCTTTTCCAAGAGGTGGTAAAGGACTTCCAAATTTTGATTCTCTAATTAATGTTAATTTGATTCTACTTTCATTTAAAGAATTAAATGACTTTTTGTCTTTTTTAATTGCCTTACTTCTTATTGAAGTTTTTATTGAAATACAAAAGAAAAGAAAACAAACAATTCTTTAGAGATATCATTACTTTCAGAAAAGAGACTTGCAATAACAACATTTGTTTTGTTATTTAATACTTCTTTAAATCCATTTAACTCAAAATCTGCTTCACTAATAACCATTGCAGCATCTGGTAATACCCACATTTTTGTTTCTAGTACTTCTGGAAAACGTTTCCATGTATCAAATAATTCTTCCATATACATATTGCTAATAATTGTATCAATACCATCTAAATTTCCCATGTCTGGCATATTTTCACCATATTGAATACCAAGAAGTGCAATATTCTTTTGATTACATAATTTATTTACTCTAAAATATCCTGAATTTCCACTTGGGTCATTTGTATAAATCATTGCAACTTTTTTCTTTTTAAAGGAATGAATAAATTCAATAATTGATTGATATGATGCTGAGTCAACTGGAATTGTTCTCATAAAATTAGGATAATCATCTTTATTAGAAAGAGTATCTGAAGTTGCTGAATTACTGATGATTGGTATTTCTTGACCTTTTTGCTTGAATACATAAGAATCTTGACATATAATTAATTCACTTGTTGTGGAAGTAATAGTATCTCCAATGATTGCATAATTTGTTCCATCCTTCATCATCTGGTCATGAATGGTATGAACTGTAGAAATATTATTTGGGTCTGGGTGATAAGCATGTAATGTAACAGAAACACCAAGTTTTTTAAAAGTATAATCAATAATATCAAAATAAGTTTTATTATAAACAATGTCCTCAGGCAAATTACTGATACTAACAGCAACATGATTTTTAGCATAACTGAAATTGAACATTAGAAATATAATAAAAGTAAACTCTCTAATATTCATTTACAAATAATGATTTAGAGATTCTTTTAAAATAGTATAATCTAAAAACACAAATTAAAAAATTATATTATTTTCCTATTTTTTAAAACAAAAAAAAAAATTAAAAAATGTTATTTAATAAGGAAAAAACAGTATAATTGAAAAAAATAAAAAAAACTGAAAAAAACATTAAGATGGTTTGTGTTGATTCTGAGTGAAAGGAAAGTTTTAAGATTTAGAATTAATAAAATAGGACCGAAGAAACATCGAACTAAAGAAGAAACAAATGTTAGAAAAAAGGGCTGCTAAAAAAAAGGAGATACAAAAACGAAAAGAAGAGTTACAATCAAATGCTGGTTTACAAAGTCAATTTTTTGATCAATTAATTGCCCGTGTACAACAACCAACATTTTTAACTTCTACAGTTGATATGAATTTAGTTAGTTGTTATGTTGAAATATTAAAAGACACTAAAGAACTTAACAAAATTCAATATGAATTTTTAGCACCATTTTTACCATTAATTTCATGGCAATTAGCACATGTAGATTTATCATGGAGTTTAACACAACCACAAAATAATTATCAACAATTGGAACATATTACAACAGAAATTTTAAGATATTCATGTAAGATTATTAAATCAATTAATTCAGGTGAAATAAAAGAAAATCTTAATGATGGAATTAATAATTATTATATCTTTAAACAAATTCAAGTTGCTGTTAGTATATTATGTGGTTATTCAGAAGACTTTTCATATATTGAAGTTATGAAATTATTTACTGCTCATCAAAATATTTGTTATCCATTATTTGCTGTTTCACAAGAAACTACTGATATTATGCAAATAGCTGTTGAAGGTGTGCTTCATGAAACGATTCCTGTTGCTATGAAAGCAAGAATTCCAGATGCATTACCACAAATGAACACAGTTTCATTAAAAAGTCTTCTTCATGGTGCTGTAGCATCAGGAGATATAATGAGTAAAAGTGAAATGGAAGAAAAAGGAAAAAATGTATTTGGTAAATTAGTTGAAGAAAATCAAACAATTTTTAATTGGGAATTATTATCAATTGGAGCTATTCTTCAATATTGTCAGATGATTCTTGAACAAGTAGATATGAATGTAGAACATGTTGATGAGGTTATTCATGAACAACGAGTTGGAAGAGCATTGAGATTAGTAAGGAGTGTATTAAATTTCATTAGAAAGTTTGAAACAATTGAACCAACGTGTGTTGGTGATATTGTTACATTAGCAAATGTATTAGTTACAATGCATGAACATTTATGCCAAACAACCATTTCATGTCATACATATTGTGATTATCTTTGTGAGTGTTTATTTAATCTATCACTTATTTTAAAAGAACATATTGGTAATCCTGTTGTTTATGTCAATTTAGAAGCATACATCGCTGCACGTTTATTTGGGTCTTTATTTTCTAAAGACCAAACACTAACTCGAATTATAGAAATGGTTCAAAATAAAGAAGAAATACCACTCCCTTGTTTGCATTCAACAGCATTAGCACTTACATTTTCTAGAGATATTTTCTCTCGTCTTCAATCTAATTTGAGCACTGTTGTTGATGCATCAACTTACAAAAATTATTCAAGAATTAGTTGTCAACTAGAGGTTTATACATACAAATTTGATGCATTTGCTGTTCAGACATTTGAATATTTAACAGAATTAATTCTTTCACCAAATGGAGTATTTTTAGATACCTTATTCTCACTTTTATTAACTTCATTTATTGGTATTGGTTATGAAGAGGCTAAAGAAAAAATTCGATTGATGAGGTTTGATCGAGATGAAACAATGAAAACATATCAAAAATATGATGTGGATTATGAACTAACTCGTATTGTTCCATTGTATCTTGCAGTTCATATCTTTGCTGAATCTCCTTGTAAAGCATTAAGGGTATATGTCAAACAATATTTTTCAAGACAACATATGGATTCATTATGGATGATTATCATTGCACAATCTCCAAGAGTTTCATTAAATAATGATAACAAACCACCATTTGGACCATTAATATCTGACGCAGAATCAATCACTAATTTGCGTGTATTATTGAAACAGTTAGTTAATAACAGACATATCACAGATACAAACCTTCAAATTCTTCTTGAAAAAAGAAGAGATAATTATCCTTTAGTTGTTCCAGTTGAACTTGCTGTCTTTACTGCTCGTTTATGGATTCATAGAATAAGTTATACTAACATTATTGAAGGAAAAGATGACCCTGTAGCTTTAAAAGAATGGGATGTTTTTCTTAATGCATTAGAACGGTTAATTGCTTCAACTGATGAGTGGAAAGGAGAAGAGTGTATTGGTTATGAAACAGTATGTATGATGTTATTTATCTTTCATAATTTAAGTAGAGTATCAAGAATTAATTATATGAGAAAGTTATTTAAAATGTTCCAAAATATACCACCTAAGTTAACTGCAAAAGGAATTGTTGGACTAACACGAGCATTGTTAATTCTTGATTATATGTTGAGATATCACAATGACTTTTCTGCTGACTTATTAAATGAAATTAAAAATGCATTATTATCTAGATCATTTGAAGAGCATGGAGACTTAGTACATGATACTTGTATCATTCCTGCTTTTATTGAAAAATTAAATTATTCTGACGCATTGGCATCATTTGCAGTCGAAACCCATGACAATATTCCTCCATCAAATGGATATATTAGATTTTATGGATTTACTAAATATGATAATTATGATAATTATCTTAGTGATTTAAGGCTTGGAATGCATTATCCTCTCGGTTCAGTTGTTATGCTCACAAATACTGCTGATTATTCAAAAACATACGAACGTTTATTAGGGTTATTAAGAGACTGTATTGTTGAACCACCAAAGAATCCAATACTTCAAAGTGCAACATTTATTCTTGGAGAATATTATTTTAATTCATTATGGATGATTATGTGCTTATTACCACCACCTCAGTCATTCATTGACCAATTCAAAGATAGACACCTTTTTGAGAAATTACCTATAGGAAATTTATTATTACATTATGTTAATTGGATGACAAACCTTTGTTATTTAACTGATAAACAACGTTCTAAATTTTACAAAGAAGTTGATATTTCAAATATGAGGATTAAAAATCATATTCAGGCATTAGTTGAAGTACTTCAAAAGATCAAGTCTCAACAAGACAGTAACAAATTAATTCGTATCGATGCTATTGTAGAAACAATTATTCAATTTATTACATGTGCATCATTAAATGGTAAATATCTTGACTTGTACAGAACTCAATTAGCTTTAAGAAAGAAAAACCATGAAGAAGCTCTTAAAGTTGAAAAATTAACTCAAACAGAAGAAGACAAAAAGAAGTTTGAAAAAGCAATAAAGGAAATGAAGGAAGAAGAAGAAAAAAGGAAGGTTGATAAAGAAGAAAAGAAAAGAGTTCAAAATGATTTAAAGAAACTTGCTGAAGAAGAAAAAGAAATTAGAAATGAAGGTTTATTAAAAGGGTTAAAAAATTTATTAAAGAAGGATTCTAAAATTAATAAAAATGAAGATATTGTTGTAGAGGCTTTAGAAACAAAAGTGCTTGAAAGTGATACTAGAAGAAAAAGAAAATTATTAAAGAAAAGAGAAGAATGGTCACAACCCATTGATTCACCAGAAAAATTAAATGAAGGAATAAGAGATATTATTTTCAAATCACCTAAAGAATTCTTTGAAATTTGTGGTGCATTATTAGAAAAATATGTAAATTGTGTTAAAAGCCAACAGCTTGGAGGAATTATTGGTTTAGACAGAGGAATTATTGTTGATACAATGAGAGGTAATAATGTAAATTGGAAGAAAGATGCTATTATCAATGTATTATTTGAAGGTGTACAACAAGAGTCATTAAATAAATATATCAGTTCTATGGTTTTAACAGATGAAACAATTCATTTTATTACAGACAAATGGGGAACAAAATTATATTTATGGAAAGATGAGTTTTATCATCCATTACAACATATTCTTGATGCTTCAGTTAGTTGTCCTATTAGACTATGTGATAGGGCTTATTTTGCTACGGTATCTTCAACTCAAAAAATTGTTAAATCTATTATCACTTTATCAACATTAATCTCTATTCAAGCAAATGTCAAAAACAATTTTGAATCTACATCATTGATGAATACATTATTAATGATCATTCCTGATAAAGGATTTAAATATACACAAGAAAGAGCCATTGAATTAGCTTTAAGAATGGGAGGAGAACAAACATCACCAATTTTAATTGAAGAATCTAAATTATTCCGAGGGGATCAATTCCTAAACTTCATTCTTCAAAGAGAGAAAGTTGATGATGGAACAGTTGAGTGTGTTACTGACTGTTTAAATGTGATGGAACAAGCAGTAAAACAAATCAAACAAAAAGTGAAGAAAGTTGATTACTATTTGAATAAAACAAGACAATTTGGAGAGTCAGATATGAAATTATATTTATTAGTTGGTGGTAAAGTAAAAGACAAAGTAGTTTTAAGACGAATAGAAGAATATTTACAAACATTAATGGAAGGAGATGAGGAAATGAAAAAGAAATTTTCTAGTGCAATGAAAGGATGGAAAAATCCAGCGTTTGGAGAATGGTGTATTCAAAAGATTATTGGAACTGAAGAAAATAAGAAATTTGTTGAAAGTGGTGAGAAAGAAAGTAATGAATTATTTGATTTCTTTGAAACTGTTATGGGAAAAGAAGAAACTGTTAAAAAAGATATATTAGAGAAGTTAATTGAATCTGTTCCATTAGTTGTTGAAAGTAATGGACAATATATCAAGAAATATTTTAGAACGATTTTTAATTATGTTTCTAAACAAAAAGAAGGAAAAATCATTGTTAATGGTATCATGAAATGGTTTGAATCTATTACAATTGAAAAAGCAAAATCATTAAAAGACTGTGAACCATTTAGTGAATTATTAAGAATGGTTTATTATCTGTTCTGTCAAATTAAAGACTCTTCAA